GTCAGGTTTACCACAAATAACAGAAAATCTTTTTTGTTGCCTTATTTCATGTGCAATCCGGTCTAACTCGGTTTGTATGAGGTCCATGAAGCAAAATTTTAAGTTCTCACATTGTATCGGATCCAGACCATTAAATACAAAAGTATCGCGTGTTTGAAAAAAAAATCTACCAATGGATTCCATTTTTTCTCGTAATGTACACCACCACTTCTCAATGCGTTGGTTAGATGTGCTTTTTCCAGCTACAATGCTTCGAGTGCCAACTATCGGATCTGTAGAATCGTGTGAAGTATTGCTGCAATAGTAAAGCAATGCAGTTTTCCGTACCAACATCACAACCTAGTAAATGGGTGAGGGGGGACTTGATAATGTTCATTAAAGGTGTCTAAAAGTATCTTGCAATAAGGTGTGGGTCGTTATTTGAGTCCAAAACCTCTAACCATGTTATTTTTCTACTTTACCCATTCACAGCACCATGGATATAAAATCCTTGTAATTTAAGTTTGTCTTTACCGTCCATATGTCATATAAAACTGGTTCTTTGGCGTAGTATACGCGTCGGCATAAGCGATGAGCTTTCCGCATCTCAATACCACCCGGATCAAGCGGTCTCATTATTTCCATGACGTCGTCTCCCTTGACGTACATGTGGTAATCCAGCATTAACCTACGCCATATTGTACGGTATTCTATGCGTTGTCCATTTGTTTGTATTTCTCTGTTTATAAAATCAGACACAGTCTCAATAGGAGTATATATTCCATTACGCCGTTTAGAATTTAAGCGTTTTAAAAGTCTATTCATTGTACTAAATGACGTCGTAATGCCATGCTGTACCAGAAAGTACTCTATTATCAGCAGAGTTTTGTTTGTTATAGATGTTGAGGGTAGGTATCTTGGCACGGTAGCTTTGGTAATGCTGAACAGCATAATGATGAAGACACAGATCAACATCAAGGTTTTCATCCTCGTTACCTTTTGTCCAGTAGTTGTGTCTGAAATAAGAGTTTATCTTTTATCTAAATCTTTATACATTCATATTATATAAAATGGGTAAATCTCTTAGCTCCGTTTTTTAAAGATTGATAGGTGCGAAAAAAATATTTTAGATGCTAGTAGGATATTTTGTTCTAACTGGTTCTATATCTACGTTTATTCTTAAGTATTCTTTTCTCAATTGTTAATATATACAACAAAATTAGACGCAAATGGTGCTCGATTACAATTTTAAGTTAACTTTGTACTTGTGTGTATGAACATAGCACTTGTCGTTCTTTACTGATTCCGTGTTAGCTCAATAAAATGCTGAATTGCGATACATGTTTAATACTGTGCACCATGCCATTTTAAGACGTAAAACTTGTATTCCCTGTCTACTTGTAAAACAGTTATTTTGTGTGTTACTCATGGACAGATTTTGTGATGAGGACAAAAGATGTATAATCACTAATATAATGAACATATTTAGGACATAGAAGATTGTACACACACAGTCACACTTGTGGAATTAAAGTCTGTGATATGTTACCACTATGGGATTATATCAAATAATATTTAATTCCCTCCTTAACACATCCTCTCCTCCATGACAAATCTGAATGAAATTATTTAAAACGTTTAAAACATACCTGAAACCAAAGTTGCTGCTTTCAGCTTCTAAAGCACGTGTAAAATGGGTTAGCCAAAAGTCATAAGACTTAAGTCACAAATCAAAAGTCGAAAGTCAAAAGTAAAATATCCGTAAGTCGAAACTCAAAAGTGACCCTCCAAGGCTTCCATAGTATTGTTCTAAATAACTAGTTTTCCAACAATTTATGTGTGCCGTCCTCATTTCAGACCTATCCTTTACTTTCACTATATGACATTGTCTAATAAATATTATACCCGTGTGTAAGAATTATAAAACTATAATGATTATAAACGCACATGAATGCTGTTAGAATACACACACCTCTAGATCACAACCATTTTTATATCATTTTACTTGTACATCTTTTCATAAATAATGGAACCATCCGTCTCTATAAAATTGCGGAAACAAACGATTGAAATCTATTTCAATACATTGACATTCGATTCATTGTCGCATATACCAAAGAAAAACAGATAAATCCTGACAATCAAGCCCGACCATTCATCGATACATTGTGACCGACAACTTATGCAAACCCTAAGTTTGAAATTTGATTATTTTTTGCCCCTGTCAACCCTCTACGAAAGACCGGTAGGGCCATTTCAATTTCATGAATTCCCGATTTAATCTTCATGAATTCACAATTTAAACTTCGTGCATTCCCGTTTTCAAAATACGGAATTCACGTATTCACGATTCAGCTTCATGAATTGACGACTTCAACTTCACGAATTCACGATTTCATCTTCACGAATTCACTATTTTAACTTCACGAATTCACGATTTCAACTTCATGAATTTACGATTTCAACTTCACGAATTCAACATCGTGAATTCAAGATTTTAACTTCACGAATTCACGATTTCAACTTCATGAAATCACGATTTCAACTTCACGAATTCACCATTTCAACCTTATGAATTCACGATTTCAACTTCACGAATTCAACTTCGTGAATTCACGATTTCAACTTCACGAATTCACGATTTCAAGTTGAAATCAGTTGAAATCGTGAACTTGTGAAGTTGAAATCGAGAACTCATGAAGCTGAAATCGGGAATTCATGAAGTTGAAATGTCCCCACCGGTTTTTCGTAAGAATGTAGCATCCGCGACAATTATAAACGTGTTTTCATTGACTAAAAAAGTGGCCATAACCTTTGATCTGATGGGTGTGGCTGATAGAACTCCTCAATGTGTATACACAAATAAAGCTTTGTAAGTATTTTAGTCATTCTCCACAAACAAAAATTTGACCATAAAGGTTGACCAACACCGACGCCGATATTGGCGCGTAGGTCATGACAAATTTTTCTTCAGACTGTAGCTTAAACAATGGGGTCATACGATGTGCGCGCATCCTCAAAATTCTGATAACGCGAGGACACACTATAATTTATATAAAATTTCACCAGTTTGGGATATTTTTACATTATTTGTATTATACAAAATTGAAAATAAATCGATGTTTGGCTAAAATTTTATTCAAAATTCGCCTGTGAAATATGGAAAGAATTGTTGTGTATGTCGGTCGTGCATACGTAAAAAAATTGTCAGGTATCATGGACCTGTTGCATTATCTTATTAGTCAAGCTCATCCGAAAGATATGACCATTTGAGCCGCGTCATGACAAAACCAACATAGTGGGTTTGCGACCAGCATGGATCCAGACCAGCCTGCGCCTCCGCGCAGTCTGATCAGAATGCTGTTCGCTATCAGTTTCTCTACTAGTAATAGGGTTTGTGACGGAACAGCAAGGATCCTGATCAGACTGCACAGAGGCGCATGCTGGTCTGGATCCATGCTGGCCGCAAACGCATTACGTTGGTTTTGTCGTGGCGGCTCATTTAGTGAATTACTGAATATGAAAATTTACCAATACATGTACCATATACGGATTTTCTGCCCAGTTAGTTTTGTTGTTGTAGATGATATTCTTTACTGACGAGGAAAATGGATTCGACATACCCAGATTGGAATTTACTGTCTTGTATTAGCATATCTAATTAGGATTAACAAAATTGCTATCTGTTCTATCAAATTACTACATCTTCATAAATAAACTCACATACAAGAGATAAAACAAAAAACATCAAATCAAGAATTGGTCGGCACTATTGTATTTATTTGTCGGTTCATTTTCAAATAAAAATAAACAAACAACAATAACATTAATGATTTTATAACTTTAATTGCGCACAGGAAATAACAACCTAAATTTAGCGTGAAAGTGCTTTACTTTCCTCTACATAGATGTTCATTCTCGTGACCTAGCTAACTCGTTATTGTGAAAATATATATTAATCTCCCATAGGATGTCGTGGAAACGAGATATTACGTTCCCAAAAAAGAGATAACATTCTTTAAATAATGTACATCGTATCTAAGAATGACAACTACGATATCAACTATTGTAATGACGCGTAAGATTTACTTCTCCTGATCAATCATGTTTGTGCATACATCTACAGTAGTTATAAGAATAATAGGCGAAAAGTTCGAGCGGGGCCATATGCCCCGGAAGAGTTGTAGCGCTCTTAACAATATGTATGACTTGTTAAATGACGATGTTAAATTTAAATCACGTTAGAATCAATGGAAACAAAAATAAGTCTAAGTCTATCATATTTGAGAAAAATGCTTAGTTAGCTCCATGGGCGCCGCCATTTTTTAAAATCTTGGACTGGTTCTATTTTTGAGCTTTAATCAGATTTCAGGACGCTTTTGAAAAAGATGAATATTTAATAAAAGCGCCTACCAAATTCAGAATGTTGCTTGAAGACGCGACAGTTTTCTGTCCTAAATTACATTTCCCGTTTTATACGAAGAAGTATGATGCAGAAAATCAGTAAATGAATATCATCCTCATTGATTAGAACTAAAGTAACGATGATTAACATTAAAAGTTACTGTTAAATATTCATTTTAAAAAATCATTACATTTAAATCGATTAACAACAAAAAATGGCGGACGATAACCATTTCATTCATATCTAATTAACGGTACAAAATATCTGCATTTATTCCTTATTTACGGATTCCAAGAAAGATCTGGTCTATATGTTTTGAAAATGTTATGCTTGTTTTGAAATCATAGGGGCTTTCCGGGTCAAGGGTAGAATCTTTTTTCATATTAGAATATTGTCAAGGTTACTTTGATGTTATAGAAACATTCATATCACATGTGTACAACAGTTGACAATAGCTTTTTCCAAAATTCGATATCATTGAATTAACACATTGTCTGTTTCCATTACATTAATGCAATTTTTCTCTCGTCAAAATTTTACAAACAAACCCCAAAAAACACAACAACATTATTCTATCATTTGTAAAATGTTACTATCAATTTTATTATGAGATTTACCAAAACATCACAATATCTGCTTAATCACAACAATAAACAATAATACCAAACAACTTTCAAGGAAGCATTTCGACGAATGACAAATCACCATCTGTATTGAATCTATCTAAACAATCATGGTAACCCGGATGTTTACATGGTAAAAATGTGTCTGCTGTATAGTCCATCATTTTATCAGCATGTTCACCGCCACTGAATCTCCAATGTTCAGCATGTCTATATATTTCTTTCCCATATCTATTTCTAACACTAAGACCCGGATTTCTCGGGACATTCACCCATTGTCCGTCCAGGATAATCTTTGTTGGTGATAATCCATCCTTTATAAGTAGATCACTGTCCAACACTGCCCTACCATGAAGATCACCATATTTACCCTTGTAGGAGCCCCCGGAGAATATGGTATCTTTCTCTTTCAGTTTCCTTTTACAACAAGACGTTGCAAAATTTCTAAATTTAAATCCTGCGTTATACAGTGCCGCTTCAAGTTGTTTGCATTTTGTACAGTTCGTTGCCAAAAAGTTTGCGTCATAGTCGTATTCCCATGGTAACGCCTTTCCTAACTTTACAACACCTAATATTGTTCCTCCTAAAAGTTCACAAATAACGCCAGTTTTCTCACACGTGCTCATGATATTTTTAATTGCGCTATTGATTAATTGTAAAGCACATGGTGACAGTGCCTGAGATGGTCTACTTCCGGTTATTTGTGTGTTACAGCTTTGAGTAAACGTCTGTCCTTGAGGTGTATGAATGGTATGTAAGTTCCACTTTTTTACAAATGGTTTCCAGTCCACATCAGAGTTTGCAGTTTTGTTGGCATTGACGTGAAACATGGAATCTGGACAGATGACTGACTCCTGTCCCGACTGTGAAATTTTAAGAAAGAAATCCTCATATAATCCACTAGTTTCATTATTATCTAGTAATGCATTCGCTTTCAGATATTCAGTTCTTGCAACAAATGGTCCCTGAATAAAGTCACAAAACAAGCATTCGTGGAAAGATTCGTCATACCCTTCAATGTATTTTAGAGTGTAGTTTCGGTACATGGACTGGTAACAACCTTTTCTCCAATGCCCGTTCTCATCCCGAAATGCCCCGCCAGCAGCGACAACGTTCAAACTTTCTATTTCATGAATTAACCTTTCTAACCTAGAATCACTGGTCAATATCTCGGTATGTCTAGCCATAAACACATACGGTGTCTGGACCTCTTTTACTAATGTATTGATTCCTGTCCCTTCGGAGCGAAACTTTGACTGAACTATTTGCACTTCTTGTGGATATTTCGAAGTTAGGTTTTCTGAGGTTGGTTCTGTATTTATTGCTATAAAAATAGTTAAGTTTTTAACTACATTATTAACAGACAGAATAAATCTGTCGACTTCTTTAGATAAAACATCAATACTTTTTGATTTCCCATTTATATATTTGATCACAGTCACAAGCTTTGATAATGGAGCAGCATTTTCACACTTCTCTACCACAAATCCCTCATAGTACATTGGAAAACCAAAACTTCCACCCTTGAATACTTCAGGACATATGTGTTTCGATTTTGTACTTTGACGCTCATAAAGTTTAGCCGAATCAACTTTCATGTCTGTTAATATGTTGTTCATAATAAGTGTAGCTTCACGAAGGTAGTCGGAAGTTTTAGACCCTCTAACATGTTTCTTTGCGCGGTGAATAATCTTAGCTAGGATCTTTATCTTTTCTTTGGTTCCTTTGTAGGTAAGATTGTCGAAATCTGTATGACCAGGGAGCTTAGTGGATAAATCATCATTGGACATCTGCAATAAATAAAATAAATAAATAAATAAATAAATGAATGAATGAATGAATGAATGAATGAATGAATGAATGAATGAATGAATGAATGAATGAATGAATAGATGGGTGGGTGCGTGGGTGGATGGATGGGTGGATGGCAGGGTGAGTGAGTAAATAAATAAATAGATAAATAAAATACAATGAAACATATTTTCAAAACACTGTCAACTAAATTCGAACAAGTAAAATACATATAGTACAAAAATCACTTGAGTAATCTAAGGTACATATTAGGGGTGAAAACGAATATGTTATCTCTATCGATAATGATACAAACCCCGTATAATTGAACAATGTCATTGAAGCAAATTAACTATTGTAGTGATGATATAATAATGCTACAATGTAATAACATTGAAATAATTTTACTAAGTGTGTTATGTGATATTTTGTAATGTCAAGTGGTCAGTTTGAAACAAAAATTACAATGACGGGAATCAAGTGTAGTTAGGCATGAAAATCATCCGTAAAATCTATGTTATCGTATTATACCAAAAATGCGCATATTTTTAATGTCAACAAAGGGTAATATTGTGAAATATACAGGTAATGATAATAAAGTTTATAAATATTATAAGAACATTTCATATAATCTCGTGACTATTAAGAAACTTAATAAATATATAAAATCTAAAACATTACAGGTACATAATAGTTATACATACATTTTGAAAAATTAATGTTTTCAATTGTGTAGTACAAAAAATTTTGAATGTTATAAACTTTCCTGTATTCGTGTTCTTGAGATTCAGACAGTTTACACTAAGATACACATTTAAACGTGTTATTATATTGCAACATAGCAGACAGCTTTGAGGATAACATATACCTTGCAACATGGTACACACATTTAACTAGATACACATTTAACATACAAACGTGATAGACAACAATAAACAGGACAAATATCATTCAACATGAGACACATCATTCAACATGACCCAACATGACGCATGACATTCAACATGGTACACATTAGTCAACATGACACATATCATTTAACATGACACACATCAGTCAACATTATACACACCATTCAACATTACAAACATCAGTCAACATGATACATATTATTCAACATGACAAACATCAGTTAACATGATAAACATCATTCAACATGACAAACATCAGTCAACATGATAAACATCATTTAACATGATCCATAATGACGCATATGATTCAACAGGACACACATTCAACATGACACAGCACCATTCAAAATGACGCACATCATTTAACAATTTACAAGACACAACACAATATACAAACTTTAATATGATGTTTATCATTCAACAGAACGTAACAATTTTAACATGACACATGCATTTTAGATTTTACTTTCTCGCGTTGCATTAAAATTATCAACAAGAATTTTAAGGTCAATACTTACCCTATTGTTGGACCAATGATTGTTGTCCGGATCCTTCCTGTAATGATGAAAACGGTAACCAATCACAATCATCACTGTAACACCGGTCAGTACACAACACAAAAATATCTTCCTTTTTAGATCGTAACGAAGCATCTCCTTGACTGGAAAAATAACATATAATAAGTAAGTAAAGATCACTCGTCTTGCTTGTACTGAAGTGTTTATTTTATTTCGGATATGTATTGATTCCCCATAAACATCTATGTTTTTCACAACAGTGTCGTGTCGTTTGAGATACTTCTGTATAATCAATTGTCCGTTTAATATGATATTACATATCATTTATCATCTTGAAGGTTACTAAAAAGTAACTTTGCTAGTCCAATAAATCCATTTACATCTAAAATAGTTTCAATTTCAATCGCTTCCCTGTAAATATTTTTTTTAATATATCTTTTCTATCACGTATTAAAAATGAATAAATATACACAATAAACGCTCAATATTTGTGACATAAATAATATTAGTTTATGGCATATACTGAAGAATAGTGCACTTAACAAAAGTTTAATCCGTATTAAAGAAGGCTTAAGATTATGACCTTTCATATACGATATGACCTGTAATATCTGACCTTCAAATGTAGTGGACTTAACCTGTCCTGTCATGCCAGAAAGCGAAAAAGACAACGTTTTTTGTTCAAAATCTTTTGATAATATGCTCGAGGATCATAAACAGTTAAGATAAATTTATGACAGTGTTTCCATTCCGCTTATGTGTGTTTTTTTGAAAACTTAGCCAGTTCTTTAAATTTCCGCCAACCTTCGACATTTACACTTTTAATGCACTATTTTCATGGATTTTATTCTAATATTATTGTAACGTATATAGAGGATATTGAATAATTGTAGAATTAATACATTTGAAACCGCAGCCACTATATACCCACTATCAATAGCAAAAACATGTACAGAGTTCCCAATCGCGTGATCAATCTTATTTTTATTTAAATCCCTATAACACAGCCCCCTCTTGGGATAAGGTTTTATCCTGTCATTTTAAATACAAACAAAATTTAACCGGCGTAATGTCTAAACAGTGAAAACACTGCGGATTTCCTCCCGCAAACTTCCGAAGCTACTTAGGCTTGGTTAAAATGAATGCTTCTTCATAACTAACTGTTTGGAACGTTGAAAAAATTCTAAAAATATTTTTATGTGATATAATTTTATGTTAATTTTTATATTCTATAAATTTTAAAAGTGATAAAGTCCTAAGTAGGAGTTATAAAGTCCTACGTAGGAATTTATTACTCCTACTTAGGATTTTACAGATCTTTTTACGACCCGGCCCGCTGCTATGAAAAATCGACCGAAAGTAGTATTTTCTCGCGCATGTGCAAACTGCGTAAGACAAAAATGCATCGCTCTGCATAGAAATGTAGTAGAAGTTCATAGACAATTCCGACTTAGTTTAATTAAGGAAAAAAGTACAAAATTAAATAAAATAGTTTTTAACAAAAACACAAAATATGCGTTTCTAGCTCTGTTGCCTAGATAACCATAAAACGGCATGGAAAAGATAATTATTTAAGAATTTCCCCTTACAACCATCGACCTGAAATTGAGATAATTGTTGTTAAAATGTGAAATACATCTGTTAGCAAATAAAGAATGTTTATTGAAAAAGTTCATATAAAAACTAAATAAATTTCATAACATATGAAATCGAGATTAATTATCATGCTGAAAAAAGTCATAACACGTGATAATGCATTTTTAGTTTTCAGTTTACCCGATTTTATCCTTTATCCGATTTGACTGTGATGCCAAACAGAATTTTTTTATGTCACATAAATATTTGAAAGAGCTATTGAAATCTTGAGAAATTAAGTTGGGCAGTTGGATAGTGAAATTATACACATTTTATCCGGTTCCTCTAACACATTTATATGAACGCCACACTATTAAATTGTCACTCCACAAAGTTATTAAACTTAATTGTCACTGCACAAAGTTATTAAACTTAATTGTCACTCCACAAAGTTATTAAACTTAATTGTCACTGCACAAAGTTATTAAACTTAATTGTCACTGCACAAAGTTATTAAACTTAATTGTCACTCCACAAAGTTATTAAACTTAATTGTCACTCCACAAAGTTATTAAACTTAATTGTCACTCCACAAAGTTATTAAACTTAATTGTCACTCCACAAAGTTATTAAACTTAATTGTCACTGCACAAAGTTATTAAACTTAATTGTCACTGCACAAAGTTATTAATCTTAATTGTCATTGCACAAAGTTATTAAACATTGATAAGTATTGTATATTTAAAAGTTACGTTAACGATTTTCATAATTTTACGGGATTAACTATTTATTGGTACTAAAATGTTCCGGTTGACTGACATTGTAAACAAAGTGAAAAAAAACACACAACCAGTCGTATGGCAGTCTGTTTAACACTTATAATAACCGCCTTAAGGAATGTACAATAAAAATTGTGTGATATTATGATTGTATTCTTACACGACCCGCATTTTTCCTTACCTACTAAAAGCGGTCCAGTAAATCACTTACCGACCGCTTAACAGGTCTGCAAATATATACCGACCTGTTTTTGTTCTATTGTTCTCTATACGTACAATAGAAAATGTGTGAAGTCGAGAAACTCATTACGGTTCAGGGTCTATATATATCTTTTAGATTAATAGAAATAAATTAGCGCATACGGCTGTACATATATTCCAGATTATTTGTGTGAAAAACGAGCTGGCTACTGTTCTGGCGTTGAAGTTTGTGTTTCGCCAATATTAATGAGTACAACAACGCACATTTAGCCTTTCTTTATAGTTTGCTTTTCGGTATACCTAACATATTTGCCGAACTATATAGCTTCATAAGATACTAGTTTTCGGCATTAAATTCTACAATCCTGCATTATTTAACAATTCTGCATTATGGGATATATACGACGATTAATTATTGGTGCATATCGAATCAAAGTTAACTTCTGCATCTTTCTTTCCCAAAATATTACTTTCAGTGAGAGTATAGTTCATCTTTAGTATAAGACCGTTTTTCTCATTTTTTTCCCAGTTATTTTTACATTAAATTTTAATTTTGTATACCGGTACTCGCATATCCTTCGCAAGAATACAACTTCCGCTTCCATGCGGTCTTATCAAACATATGAATAACGGATGATGCTAATTAAAAAAAAAAACACCGAAACATGGAACATTTAAAATCAGCCATCATAAAAAACAACAACAACAAAATTCAACTTACATGACGGTGTAACTACATGTATTACTAATTACTGATTAGAAAACATTTTTATCTTCCTCAATATTTGTTTATATTATTAATATGTTATGTATTCATACATCAAAATAATGATCTTACCTTTCCCTACTCGACAAGTTCTGTTTTCATTTTCAGTGACTCAACTCAAAAAGTACATTACCTGACCTTATTACATAATGAAACCCCACGAAAATCACGAGAATATTCAAATAACACCTGATTTGTGAACGAATGAAGAGCGTAGCGGATGGTTTCTTTGCTTGGCTTTGGAATGCTTTGATAAAGTACATAAATAATATGTTTCTTGTGAGTAATATTAATAAATACTGAGTTAAAAAATGATGTATGGATAGAAAAACAAAAGAGCATGTAGGTAAGATAGTTACCGAACTCGGAATAGGTCTGCATAGAATTTACAGACCCGGTGGCCTTTTAAAAACCTCGATTGCTACGCTCTCTCGGTAAATACTTTGCAGATCTATTCCTCGCACGGTAACTATTACTTATTGAACATCGAAGGACATGAAAGTGTGCTAGTATACAATAAAATCAATTATCACAAACACACACCCGTGCAGATTTTGCGACTCCGTAAAAATGGTATTGCACGGCCGTGCATATATATTTCGAAGTGAGGTCATTAGCGTTATACAAAGTGTAAAGACGCCCTAAATGTTAGCGTTATACTATATACTGTATAACGTCAATGAAGGGTGACTCTTTTTTCACTCTAAACGATTCATTATTTTGGGTATATGATTAATATAATTCGTGTAAGTTCATTACTGAAATTATTGAGCTCGTTGAATCTCGCTTAATGTAATTTTATTCAACTCGTGCAATAAATTCAGTATTGAACTTACACTCATTCAATACCTTCTATATAATCACTGTTGACGTTCTACATGTATATTTATCATGCAACTGCTATGGTAACTGCCTGATAATTATTTTTGATATCACGTCAGTAACCTGATATCAAAAATTAGCCCCGCCCATTTTAACGGACTTTTTTCAATTGCTTATATTCTCATTTTCATCAGCATGTGAATTCTACAAATTAATGTAATCTCATACCCTTACGTTACAAGTCTTAAATAAATATGCGAAATTTATTTATTTATTATTTCGATTTCAATTACGAATAAATTAGATAGCGAATAGTTTTAGCACCAACTAAATGAAGTGACGTCATAATTTATATTGCAAATGACATCATCGATGTTCACGTCATACTATACATGTAATCATAACAAACAGGCTAGACGATTTTCTTTGAGAACTTGTAAATGTTTACTTTATTTCGCCGTATTATTATTTAATAAGTGAACAAATTGTTTCGTTTAAAAAATAAGACGCATGTTTGTGTAGCTTGTGTTTGATTGCCGATTTGACTTTCCTTTGATTGAAATTATCGTGAACTTTTGCATTTGACAATTTAAGACAAAAATTGCAGTAAAGTTTAGTTTATGTGATTATAAGCAGATTTTTGGATCGATGTTTAAATTAACGGTATTAGGCCTACATTCTGTTGTATCTTTTATCCGAGTCGAAAGAAAAAATGGCCGCCAATTACAAATTCTAAGTTTCAGGGGCGGAGGAATTTGTTTTCAAGAATTATTTCTTTGAACAAAAATCCCCCTTTTTAACGAAATTCGCTATTTAAAAGTAGATTATTTTGTTATTTTGACAGTTATTATGTGTTACATGATAAATAGAAAAACATTGCTACTGTCTTTTGATATCAATTTTTATCAGGCTCGGCTGATATGGGCAGAAAGGGCTCGGCAAGCCTCGCCCTTTCTAGCCATATCATCCTCGCCTGATAAAATTGATATCAAAAAGACAGTAGCATGTTATTCTCTATTTTATTTTAGACATGTAAGTAACCAATAGACATGTGAAAGTATGACCGCTATAAAAATGCGACGCGCTGAGTACGGAAACAAATCAGGCGCAATATAGCTTACTATTATTTACAGCAGCATTTATTTGGCGATGTTGTGTTAAAATCGAAACAATACGCCTCGGGTAACAGTATTTTCCTCGGGATGATATTTTTACTGTTACCTACAAACCCATGTGTTATTTATATACATATATAATGCTAACAAGTCTGGTTAACTGCTGATTGCACATATTTGCAGACTGATCACTTTATAGAAACTTCTCAAAAAATTAATTTTAATCTACTCTCACGCTGGACACTCATAGTAAAAATCATACATAGCTGACAATGCGGAATCACCGTAACACCTTAAAGAAAAACAAATCCGACGTACACTCATAATATTTCGTAAGTATCGTCTTTTTATGTCATACATTAAGGTAAATTAAAATAGTGCGAAAATAATCTTAGAAAATCACTTACCAAAGGAACAAAAAGTTCAATGAAGAAGCTACATTGATTTCGGTAATCCACAAAAAGGGAATAAATGTGTCTAAGAAATTAAATTTTCACTGTGCTAAGAATCACTAAGACACGCATATTTCGTGCTGAATTTGAGTGAATTCATAATACATTTAAACAAATAGGCCCCGTATTCAAAATCGATACTTACAGTAAATCCCATATAATTGCCTAACGGTCAAGACAGTCCTCAAAAAGCACGAGGATAACGGTGTAATGCCAGTTATCATGAAATTAGTGAAGCGTCAAATTTAAGACCCGTTTAATGAAGATATGCTCGAATGGTATGCAGATGAAAATGTAAAAATTAAGATGACTCTACAGATTAAAGTTTAAAAAGAAATTAACAAAAAAGCAAAATTGTAACTTAAATCACATGGCCTTACCTTCCAACAAGAATTACACACAAGTAAATAATTTCTTTATATCTTAAAACTAAATGTTTGTAGGGACATATTTGACCTATTCACGAATCCGCATGTGTGGTGTTACCCTGGTATGGAATTAGACTAAGCCGATGCAGTCTAGAAAGTAGTTATTCTAAATTTTGAAAGTGACCCATTTCAAGCCAACCTTTGTAAGACTGTTTACATTTAAACTATCTTTTTGTAATTGTATACATGAAAATTCCTCTCCGAGTACTTTAAAGGTTTGTTTTTTGTGTATCTTTGGGCAGGATTTCATTTCTTGGTGGAAAGGTTTCAGGAAGAACTATGCGCCAGAATACACCCCGTTGTTTATTTCGTTTATTTTATAGTGCTGATACAAAATAAAAGCGTCAGAAAAAATCCAAGGGCTTATGTGTTATTTTTTGTGCTAAATTTAGTTGGATAGTATTTTTTGTTAAACAAGTTAAAGGGCCAACCAAATGCCTGTACAAGGATATGCTGTGTTCAGAAATTTAGTCTTTTAGATGTGATGGATTTACTATAGGAATATTAGTGCGAAAATTCATGTGGGCCGTTCTCGTGGTATAACACCAAGCAGATGACAGCGGTTTAAGCTTTTTAAGATTATTTTTTTTATGGAAGGTAAGTTTTCAATACCTTTTGTTGTTGGCTATATTTTTTAAACATGTGTAGACGTTAGAACGGAAGGTTAAAAACTGTTCAAATCCGCAGAATATTTAGCAATTTTTAAAAAAAGGCTACGTTTTCTGACCATCATAAAATTTGAAACCGGGAGGAATCGAATAACAATTGATATCAACATACCGGGGTATATTTGATAGAAAGACGCAATTCCCGCCGCGCCGATAAGAGGGGCGCTTTAACGTCACCGTTTCGCTGTTTATTTTAATATCAAATAAAAATGCTGCGGAAGTAAAGCTGACATTTCTTATTGTGTGTATACCAAAAATCATCAAAGAACTGGAGGACGGTCGG